TATATATATATATATATATATATATATATATATATATCTTAATTTTGGTAGTATTTAGTCTAAAACTTTAAACTTGAACCTTTAAAAAATAAGATTGGCTCTAACTTTTTACATCTTGCCTTACATCAGATTTTTGCATAAAGGTCATTATATGTTAATGTGTACAATTTTGATGAAAATGCTACTGTAGACAATGCACAATCACTTGAAGGTTTGATCAATTCAATTAATATGGAGAAAAATTGGATTTCTATTTTCTTCTGACAAGTTAAACTCATTGGATTATATTAATTTGAAAGCATATTGTGATCATCTTGATATTGTTTTAAGACACGTAAATTTTTGTGATCCTGATGCCAAGATTTACTTCGAGAGTTAAAAGTTTTGCGAAATCTTTTAACAAAAAGAAATGAAGACGGGTTTTGATATATTGAATTATTTGAAAAGATTGGATTGCTTTCTGAATACATGTATTGCTTATAGACAATTCTTGTTACTGTTGCATCTGCTGAAAGAAGCTTTTCAAAATTGAAGTTATTAAAATCTTATTTGCGATCAATCATATTACAAGACCGATTGAATGAATTAGCTTTGATATCTATTAAACAAGACTTTCTAGAAAATATTGATTATGAAAATTTAATTAGTGAGTTTGCTTCTGAAAATGCGAGAAGAAATATTTTTACATGATTTGTTGCATTTCAAGCTTTACACTTGATATATATATTTTTTCAAGTTTTACTTATATGGAATTGCACAAAGAGCTCAATGGCTTGGATGGTTCTTTGTTGATGACGTATGAATTTTGATAAAGTTCGAGATATGCTTTTGAGATTTATTTGTGTTTTTTTTGTTCATGTATGTAAAAAATAAATAAATAAAAAATAAAAAATTTATATATATAATATCATATTTTTGCAATGAAATAGTATTATTGAAATTTTTTTTAATATAGGTTTTAGTTACTTGAAGGGAACACCATTTTAAAAGTCTCGCACGGGACACTAAAAATCACAGGGCACTAAAAATCTCAGAGTTGGCTCTGCTTATCCTATTTACAATTTTCTTGTTACACGATTAAGGGAAGTTATTAGAGGTTGATCAAGGTTGAAAATTCAAATTCCAAAATTAAAATCACTTCCTTTAACCCATCCTTTTAGGCTTGTTGGTCAACTCTATAAACATGGGTAGTACATGACCCACTTTCCAACACAATGTTGCTAGTCTATTTAACTTTCTTTTAGTTTTATCTTTTTGAGTGACTTAACTTTTTGTTTCAACTGATTGGAGGTTAAATTTTTTATGTTCTTTCAACTTTTTTTGTGCTTTATTTCTTTTCAACAAATAAAGACTCCATTGTGGTGTTTTAGATTTAGAAAAATAAAAAGGCTCGATAACCACTCGGGACACCTGTTTTATAGTTCCTCGTGCCTAAAGATAGCCATCACTTTCGAAGAGGTGTATGGTAATATTTGTCGCTGTTCATGCATCAACTATAGTTAGTGGGTTCTGAAAAACATTCGAATGTATGCTTTGCTGTCCAAACATTTCAAGCTTACTTTTTGTTCTTTCTTTGTGATTCACTTTATCTTCTACCTATATAATTCTACCAACGAAAGACACATGCATAAAGCAAATCGCATCTTTCCATTTGGTTGGTGCAAGATGATATGTAAAATTATATATGTTGGGGAAAAGGGATGGTCAAGAGGTGAAAGGAATATTAAATGATTTTATCTTTATATGCATGTTCTACACAACGAAATAATTTGAAAAATAAATAAAAGATCAAATTTGATGCACAACTCATAGTCTGTTAATCATGAATTCAATGATCTCGTTTGGGATAAGAGTGAGGTGGAGTTACAGTTGTGAGAAAATCCCTCAATTCTAGTTAAGGGTGACCTACAACAATGGGGCTCCGTGAAGGTTCATGTGCTAGAAAATAAAAAGTTTGGAGCGTATACAAAGTTGGCAGATGACTCGATAGGAGCCCAAGTGGTCAGCTATAAGAAAGATTGAAGAATATTTTCTGAAAACAAAATTTATAGTCGGTTCTGTATGCTCAACAAAGCGAAGTTAGAAAATTGGTTTTGACAAAAACGGGGTTGATTTTATGTATAATTTACATAGTAATGCAGCATAAACCATGTTCTAATTATGAAGAATAGTAGATTAAACCATAAACTACTTGTGGTAAAATGAAAAAATGAGAACCCCGGAGCATATCTCAGTGGTGAAAAGGACAAGGGTAATATATACTCAGCTTTGTTGACAGTCGCAGTGTGAAGGTTCGATTCTTGAAATATGGATTGTGACTCTTTGTGAGCACCAGTATACAGACAGCTCTTGTTTTCTGACCTGTTGGAGCACATCCCGAAATTAACCTCTCTCACGATACTCCAGGGACAAGGCGGTGGGGGACCCTTAAGCTTGGGGTTCAACCTTTTAAAAAATGAAACATGAACCAGCCCTCGGGCATAACCCAATGGTGCAAATAACAAGAGTGAAGTACTTTGAATCTTGCTGGCAGCCGCAGCGTGGGGGTTCAATTCCTGAGATATGGAATTAGACTCTTTGTGGGCATTAGTGTACGAGCAAACTCTTGTTCCATGGCATGTTAGGGCACATTCCGCGATTTACCTCTCTCACGATATTCCAGGGACGACGCGGTGAGAACTTTCAAGGTTGGAGTTCAACCTCTTTTTATTTTTATTTTTTTGAAAAATGAAACATGAACCGTACAGAATCCTATCAAACAAATGTTAAATCTTATTACCAAGTTAATACACAATTGACTTCATCATTTAAGATAGCTAACCTGGCCACCTGTCTACATCATTTAACAATATCTAAACTCCCTTTAATCAACTTTAGCCGAGATAACTTTTACTTTTTCTTCACTAGGTAAACACTTGGATGCAAGCTATTTCTTCTTCTTCTCTTCTTAAACTTTCTATGCATTTACAGGCAGATTTCAGGGCCATTAGCTAAAAGTGGATCAGTTAGATGAAAAGGCTAACCACGATCATAGTTAAATTAACTGAACTGAGTGAATATTTGTCTCGTCATTGTGAGTATAAGCCATGGGGAAATTTAAACTCAATTTGTCCTTGTACGGTGGTCGAAATCAAGGGTCAGTTAAGTGTCTTTACTCTTTAGTAAAATCATGTTTGGAGAATAAAAGTTCCCCTAAAGGCTCTTTACAGTGTACAAAGATTGTTAAAAAAATTAGAAAAATATGAAAATCTTCATCGTACCCAGCCGGGCCCGCAGGTCTTTCGCTGAACCACCAATGTCTCCTAAGGCAGCGACGAGGACGCAACGGTTGGCCACCTGATGAGCCTCACTTTTGAGTTTTTAAACCATTTCCTAGAATCTTCCAAACGAGTCCAAATTAGTAGAAAATGCTGGATTCGTGTAACCTAGCCAATAAGTTAGTGGGGAAAAATCAAATTCCTATAGTGTGAAGGCAAAGTGTTTGTTTGGAAACCCTGGTTACCCTATATCTATAATCACTTATTTGATTGTCACAATTTAAAGTTTTTGTTATTTTCAGTAAAATTTTATCGAGTTCATATTAATTTTTTGGATTGCACACGTTAAATGTTGATATCATTTGGATTAATTTTCATTATCATTATCTTCTAGTCATTTCCTTCATCCACAATTTACTGACCTAAAATGTCAGCTTGCTTTTGATCTAGGTAAATTCAGCATGCATTCAAATTATATTATTAGAAGTTAGCTATGTCAAGATAGCTATAAAAAATTAATGTTTGACAGAACTTAGACACCGCTAAAGTTACTTCAAACACGAAACATATCCACTGATTGCTAAAAGACAGTTTAATATACTTTTCTCCTCTTACCAGCCGCCTTCTAACACTCAGATATGATGCGCAGTGCTCTTTAATTATACTTCGTTCTTTCCATGATTATTTATATTTATATAAATAACAATATTTGTCATTGCACTCTTTATTATGATATATATAACCGCATATAGTCAAGAAAGTCTATAATACAACCACAATATAGAGTTCCTTTTACTTTCATACTGCAGTGATGGAAGAAGACAGATCGACTTTGCCTCCTGGGTTATGTTTTGCTCCGACCGATGAAGAGCTTATCGTTTATTTTCTGTATCAGAAGGCTGCAAGCTTGCCTTGCTACCCTAATGTTATCCCTGATCTTAATCTTTATTCGCCCCATCCTTGGGAATTAGATGGTATAAAATCTCTTCCAGGGTTTTCTTTTTCTGGGTATCTCTAATTTTTTCCATTATAACCCCACATAATTTATGCTCTCTTAATAATACTTCTCGATTATTGAATCTCCGCAAGGGATTCAATTGTGTCAAAGGTTTTGACAAGTGCACGGTTTTCATAAATAGAAGGTGGTGAAATTTGATAGCACGATCTTTGTCCATTCTGATATTAAATATTGAACAACTTCGTTTAAAAGTTCAAGATGGTATTTGTTTAAATTTTATCTTTGACATTGATCACTTTTATGACTAGGATATGCTGTTTCTTTAGTTTAAATGATTTTTATATATTTTTTGTGTTGGCATCTATAGATAAGACCTTTGCGAGTCGAAGACAGTGGTATTTCTTCAGCCGAAAGATGCAAAACCGAACTGCAGAAAATGGATTTTGGAAGGAGATAGGTGTTGATGAGACCATACTTACAAGCACTGGAAACAAAGTGGGAATCAAGAAATATCTTGTGTTTTACGATGATGATGTTCGCTCTGAGAACAAAACCAATTGGATAATGGAAGAATATCGTCTGCTTATTTCCCCAAAAGGACAGAATCAGATCCAAGTAAGAAAACTATATAGTTTAAAAAAATATTATCTTTCGCAAATTCAAAATACAGCTAACTGGATCCGGAAATTATAATTAGAGTTCGACTACATGTACACCCTGTAGACGAGGGTGTACAGGCCCTCACATGGGAAGGGGTCCACGCCCAATAAATGCTTCCGGACAACCTCCCATGTGAGGGACGTGTGTACACCGGGGTGTACATACTTGGGTACAAATGGCTTTTTCCTTGCAATTATTTGGTTACTTAGATATAAGTTTTATGCTACTTTATATAGGACCTGGATGAATGGGTTCTATGCCGCGTTCATGAAGCAAATATAAGTTCTGATGGGTTGAATTTCCCCGAAGGTGATGGTGATGGAGATGGAGATGAGCTCTCGTATCTTGATGAAGTGTTTTTGTCCTTGGAGGATGATCAAGAAGAAATCAATTTTCCATATTAGATCAATCAATCACGTGTAGAAAATACTATATGTTTTTATTCTGTTTAAGTTTATAGCAATCAGAAAGACATATATGTATGTATAGTATGATAAAAAGTGAAAAAAAGAAGTAAAATGATAATAAAATTAAGTACTGTTGTATATATGTGTTCATGTATTTGGGTATTTTAAGAATTGTTCGTGTATTGCAAATATCAGTAGAATACTAGAATGTATAAAGCGGACCGAAGTTGTGATCCTTGAATGATGTGATTAGGTTGAAATGAGGGTTATGATGGGATTTGCAGTAACGTCATATATTTGGACATTTGCTTATAATTAAGCAATTTTCTGTGCGCACGTTATAATGATAGTATCCCTTATTTGAGCTCCATTATCAAGATGATTTTATAAACAACAATTTTTTAAAAGAATATATGGTTTAACAAATAGAATAAAAAAAAAAATTTGAATTCGTGTGTAAAATTATTTTATTGAAAAAATGTATTATTAAAAATAGATTTGAAAGAAAATAAATTTTTAATAATGGAACTCGAACATGAACTATATATGTGTGTGTGCGCACGCGCGCGTATATATGTATTTGAATTCAGAGGACACTAAAAAATATGCTTGCAACAAGAAACACGTAGAGTTTGAAGATTAAATTTAATCCTCAATGAGCATTAGGACAATAGCTAATATCAATAGAAGTTTTACGTCGCATAATTTGTAATGGGTATCAGTGAGGAAGTTATTTTACACTATGAAACGAGGTAAGATTCTGTAGCTCAAAAATGAGAAAATTTCGTTGTTGTTGAGCAACAATTTTGAAAAATAATCTATAAAATCGAATATTTAGACCCAAACACAATTGGAGAGGGTGAATAGGTGCATAATGCAATCATATAATATAAATCAAAGGCATAAAAGTAAAGAACGTCAAATTTGGTGCTGGAGGAAAATCCTTGAAGAACTCATTATAGAGATAAAAAAATATCTACTTAAACCTTGTCAAAAAAATTCACTAGAAAAATAACTTTAAGTTGGTCCAGATACAACTAAACTTTAGTAAATTCTAATCACCCAACCTATAATCACAGAAGAACCTCTTCGATTGTGCAATCTGTATTTTCTTGCAACTCTAAATTTCTTTTTCCTCCGAGTGGATTACTAAAAACGAATTCGTTTGTTTAAGAATATCACTTAAAATGTTATATCTTAAAAATCCTTTTTCCTTTTTAAATTTTTCTTTTTATAATAATGCAAAACAAATGAGACAGAGAAAATGTTATGGTATATGCATGAATATGTAAATATCATGAACAATGAAGATGCATGGACCTAAAAACCTAGTTAATGAGGTACATAAACACTTTTACTATGAAGAGTTATGCGAGCAATGCCACAATTTACAACATAACATCTGACCAAGAGGTTCACTTTACCGAAATCTTCTTAAAAGAAGATATAATCTTAGTGAAATGACTCATCATTTTAGTCAATTGATCCACTTGATTAGTCAAGAATCTAACATAAGTAGTAAGATCTTGATTATTGCTCCTAACCTAGGATTTATAGTATCTAAGTCTAATGTGACCAAACTCATCACAATTATGACAAGTAGGAACAAACCTATGAGCAATTATAGGTTTCAAACTTTGAACCTTAGGTTGAGGGAACCTATGTTGCACAAATAACTTAAGTCATTGGACTCCCACACTCTTAGTCTTGTCAGAGTCAGGGACAAACTTGGTTTTCGATGGGGGGTAGCAGTATGAGGACTTCCTCCTTTATAGCCTAAACTTCTCCTATTACCAGTAGATTTGTTCAGTCCTAAGATATTATCAAGCTTCTTAAAATCACTAGAAAAAAATTGAAGTTGATTACTATATTTCTCTAGATTACTCGTAAGAGATTTAACCTTAATATCTAAGGACTCTTTCTCATCCCTCAACTCATTCAATCTTCTAGTTAACTCCTCAAGTTTGATCACTAAACTATTATTTTCTAGCTCAAGATTATGCAATTTCTTAAGGGTGTAGCTATTCACCTTTTTCAACTTAACGCACTCCTCAAACAATTAGTCAAAAGCCTCATAGATGTTACGCTCATTTGCTGATTCTTCTTTTGAAGAGTCAGATTGCTCTTTGTCCTCAAATGTCTCACTTTTATCTACAAATTCACTCTTAACCACAAAAGTGAATGCTAAATATTTCCCTCCCTCATCAAGATCGGAATTCTCACTTCAATTATCAGAGCTAGACTTGTATCAATTACTTAGGATTTTCTTGTTGCTTGGGCGCTCGAATTTAACATGTCCAAAACTCTGGCACTCATGACGTATCACCAATTGAGACCTTTTCTAGGCTTCCTAGTATCTCTCTTCTCTCTTTTATCATTCCTATTTTCACTAGAGTCACGTTTAACATATTGGGAAGTCTCTTATATTTCTAAAGAACTTCTTAAATTTCCTAACTAGGTAGGCGAACTCTTCATCCTTTAGGGTGTCATTATTAGTCTAATCACAAGTCTCTTCCAAAGTGTTTAGGGCTAAAGACTTATTTTTCTTAAAGTATGGTATGCTAAGTTCATTTGTTTGGAGAGATCCTCCAAGTTCTGCTATCTTAATAGCATTTAGATCTTTGCTTTCCTCAAAAACTGTTGCCTTAAGTCTAAATCTCTCAAGTAGAGATCTCATAACTTTCCTCACATCTTAGCATCGAGAATTCTCTTACCTAAGTTGAAACTAGAATTCAAGTATCAATTCAGATGAATATAGAATCCATCAAATGATTCATCCTCTTTCATCATAATTTCTTCAAATCATGTAGTCAACATTTGTAGCTTGGAGTTTATCATGGTCTTAGTTTTCTCGTGTTGTTTCTAAAGTATCACAAACATCCTTAGTAGCCTCCACATCAACACAGGCTTAAACTTTTCGAGGAAAACAGTCATACATATGGCATGGACACATCTGCTATTCCAATTACACTCAACTTGATCATCTTTAGTCCAAGTAGAGCCATCTATAGGCGTAACAACACCAACAGATGTAGATGGGGCAGTTCAACGTTTTTCTACACTAACCCCAACTTTTTCATTCATAAACTTTAAAAAAACTCTCATTCTAATCTTCTAGTAAATATAATTGCTTCTGTCTAAATATGAAAGGACAGAAAGTGATTTACTCTTCTAGAATAAAATGGATCATGGATCGAATTATACTCTAATACCATTTCAAAAATAATCTTTAAAATCAAATGTTTAGACCCAACACCTATTAGGTGTATAATGAGAAATTAAAATAATCTTAATCAATACAAAGCTACAAGTCACTTATTTATTGTTTCTAGATTATTAAGTTTAATATCAAATTTAAACCTTAAATGTCAATCATGCAATATAGATCAAAATCATAAAGTAAAGAATACCAAATTTGGTAACGAATGAAAATCTCTTGAAGAATTCTTCACATAGATCAAAACCATCGAGCAAACCTTGCAAAAAAGATCCATTATAAAAGATAAATTACAGTTGGTCCATACACAATTAAATTTCAATAGACGCTAACAAGCCAATTTGTAAATCACTGAAGAACCACTTCGATTATACAACATATGCTTTTTAGAAAGTCTAGACTACTTTTGCCTTTGTGTGGATCATCAAGAATGAACTCGTTCTGGAACAACTGAAACTCCAATTGTCTCTTCCCAACTTTAGAACTATGAATGCCTATTGGTGATTGTAATGATTCTTTGTGTTTGATCTTTGGATCTTTTCTCTTTTGATTTCGTGATTGAATCAAAAGAATTAAAGAATATGTTTTTGATATATAAAGGATGTTCTCTTGTATGAATAATTGATCAATCAATTACGAAAGATATTTAGAAATTTTTTTGCTTTGATATTGTGGTTGAATCAAGTGATCTTTGGATTGAGTTATTGATAGTCAATAATATGTTTTCTTGAATGAAAATAGTTCAACCCAGATATCACCACCACTCGAGCACAAGAGATGCAGCCAGCAAGCGAAGGCACGATGCTTAAGTTCTTGGCACTCGGACGACGGAGCTATTTGTTTCCTCAAGTGTTGATGGCATGGATAGCTATCAGCTTTGCAGCTATTTTTTATCCTTGTTTCATCTTTGACTCATTCAAGATATGTACTACCCACCATCAACTATTTCATTTTAATTAGAACTTAAAAAGTATGATTTTGGACAGGGAACTAGCCAATACAATTTGGCCCTAACAAATTGTAATTTTCGTCATTCTTTTTAAAGCAATTGTTGTCACTTGTTATAATTATAGTTTCAAAATGATTATTTCACTAATTTTTTTTATTGCTAATAAAGATTAAAACTAATAAAATAATATATTAGAGAAAACAAATAAGTAATAATTGAAAATGAACGAAATGTAAAAAAATTATTTTTATAAATGATAAGTCCGGATTATTAGTTAGTTTCTCGTTAGAGAGCTGAAGACTCAATATTGACAATGTATTTCAAGTGTTCACAAGAAAAAACATGTTTGATCACCCAACTTACATGATTATTTGTTAATAGTCACTTCTTTTGTGAAATTCATCACATTAGCCACTTATCCCTTGTTTGAGCCCATTTTTTAGAAATTCATTTTTTCCAAACCCATTTTGAATCACACCCTCTCAATAAAATAATTTCACACATAAATTCAAAAAATTTCCTATTTTTTAAGCAGACATTTTCAAAAAACTACTATTACAAATTTCATTTTTCCAAAAAAATGGAGCTCCAATAAACCCTTCATTTTTGGACCGTAATAGATAATGTATAGTATCTTAATGCATCTTAAGCAAATAAATCTTAAATAATACAATTTGTTTATAATAAATTAATTGGCCACGATAGTTTAATTAAAATATTTAACTTTTATGAATTTATAGAGATGAAGAAAGCACCGTATCATGTGTTTCATATCACGTGTTATTTTAAGACCTATATGGTTTGGATAGATGAGCGAATCGATCCTTGTCTTCCCAATATGTGAGATCCTAAGATTTATATAACATCATATACATCCTTATGACTTTTGACTATTTTTAATATGTTATCTTAGTGTTGCTACTTTAGCATATTACCAAAACTATGATTGATTCGGTTTAAGCACTCTTGTGGTTATACTGGCAATTATAAGGTAAAAGATAGTGCTAAACATGGGCATCATCATGTGACGCGACAAGATTAATGTTCATTTAATGCTCACATAATATGTATTTCAAGT